CTCAGGAGCTCACTACCAGCCTGAGGCAGGAGAATTGCTTGAATCCAGGAGGCAGAGGTTACAGGGAGCTGAGATCATCCCATTGCACTCCAGCCTGGATGACAGAGCAAGACTCCATATAAAAAAAAAAAAAAAGATTGAGAACAACTCTTAATGAATTCTGATTGGTTTATTTTTTCTCACTTAACTATTATGTGTAACAAGGACCTCCTGGAAGTAGTGACTTAACCCAGAAGAATAGGTCTAAGGTTAGGAATTTTTAGATCACTGTAATCAGAGAGAAGAAATACTTGGCAGGCTTTGTGGTGCTCTTCAGATCTTACTAATTTGCATAGACTATTGTTTATGCATTTTTCACTTGTCCAATAAATACTTACTAAATATCCATATTGTACTAGGCTCTCTGTTGGCTGGAGATACCTTGATGAAAGACAGTCCTATTGTCAAGAAACTCACTGTAGTGGAGGAGGCAGTCATACAGTTGGAAGACACTATGATAGAGGAATATACAGAATGGCACGAGGAAGCTCATTAACTCCGACACTGGAGGGAATGTGGTTAGTGAGGAAATACTTAGAGCACTGTCTTAAATGACAAGTTGGAGGGCTAAGCCTGCAGCCTTGTTGAGATCAGACATTAATTTGGCTCCTTTTTACTCTCCTTTTTAAACTTAGTACTCTTCTCATTTATGTCTTTATCCAATAATAATAGGTAATGTTTATTGAGAACCTATGTGCTCTGCGCTATAATAAGCACATTACATATATTAACTCATCCTCACAACAACTCTGTGAGGCATGTATCATAACAAGCTTGCCCAACCCACAGCCTGCAGGCCACATGCAGCCCAGAACAGCTTTGAATGCAGCCCCACACAAATTTGTGAACTTGGTTAAAACATTATGAGATTTTTTTTTTTTGCAATTTTATTTATTTATAGCTCATCAGCTATTGTTAGTGTATTTTACATGTGGCGCAAGACAATTCTTTACATATGGCTCAGGGAAGCCAAAAGATTGGACACTCTTACACTGTGATTAACCTCATTTTACCGATGAGGAAACTATAAAATAACTTTGCTAAGGTTATACAGCTAGTATACAGAGCTTGAGTCAAGCCTTGTTAGTCTTATTCCAATCCAATACTCTTTATCACTAAACTACCTTGCTTCTCCATAGATTGTAACCACTCTATTCTCCTGCTTTTCAACAGAATTTAGAGAAAAGTACAACAAATAAAACACTAGAAGCTGAGAGCTGTGGAAGATTTGCTATAAAAGCAGTATTTGCATTATTATTGGCTTAAGTTGTAAATGTTTTGCTCAGGCATGTTGGACATAGTCTCTGGACACCATGCTGTACTCAGATTGAATCTACCATTTTAATCAAGTGAAAGGTTCACCTATAAAATAGTTATCTCTGAAAAGAAATGGAGTTTGGAGTTTTGTTATTGTGTATAGGTTGATACCAAAAAAAACATTTTTTACCAAAACATTCTGCCCAAATATTGTCTAGCTCCCGCCTTTGCCAGGAAGTTTCTTTTGATTGTTCTAAGTTTCCCACCCCCATTTTTTTCCTCCAGCCTGCTTTTTCTACTCTCTTATTCAGGATTCTGTAGATTCCAAATGAAAGAAATCTAGTTAAAAATAGTTAAGCTAATGAGTGGTTATTAGAAGAATCCTAAGACCACCAGCTGAATCCATGGAAGGGCTGCTGGACAGGGGCAATTCCTAGGTCTCCAAGCCATGATATTGAACATTCAGCTTCTGTAGTATACTTCTCTCCACGTCAGTCTCTAATCTTTACTTCCTTTTTTTCCAGAGTTGATTTTATTCCTATCCCCAGGTCATGTTTGATTGTGAGGCAGCTCCAGTTTTACTTTATCCCAGTTTAATGAGCTCAAGAAAGAAAGGTTTCTTTCTCCCCACTTCAGTGTATCTGAATCCCAGGGAAATGTTCTGGGCTGGCTTGGATAATGCTTATGTCCTTTGAACATATGTCATTTCTGAGCAGGGAAGTAGGGTGCTGTAATTGTTTAGGTCAGGAATAAATAACAGCCTGAGTGGGAATAAGAGAAGCTCTGAGTTTGGCAGACCTTTTAAAACCATGTAAGATGTTGCGGGGAAGGCAGAAAGATCAGTTTCCCAGAGGAAGGCAGGGCGCTGTTAGAAGAAAAGGAAAAGAGAAAAGAAAATGCTGAAGAGAGAATCACAAGTTTCTACTAAGGAATTTACCTCTGCCCTGCATGTTGACACTTGCCTCTGCATTGAGATTATGAGCTCTTTAAAGGCAAAGTCTGTAGAGTTGGGACTCAGCCTTGTATTGGATCCCCTTGGAATCCTTTGTAGCACTTAGCATACAACTAGGTGCTCAATAAGTGGTTGTTTACTTCAACTCCTGTTTGGAATACTTTTCATTATTTTGGCTCATTGTAGTCATGATTTTAGGCAGATATCTTTTCCATTTTTAGTTTTGAACTGAATTATTTAATAATTCTGTGTTTAGTTCAAGATCATATTGGATAAAAATAACTTGGTTAAACTACATATGTCAAAAACATGGCTGAACAAAATTTTTCTTCACATGTTATAACAAGCAAATTATTCCCCCATATTTTTAATGGATTGCTTTTTTTTTAATTGAAAATGATGTACCAAATCAAAGCATTGGCTTGTTAAAGATTCTGTGTTCCGTAGAAATGATCTGATGCAAAACTAGATTATTTTAATGTGCTTATCTCAGGAGCTATATGGTTTATATACTTATTCAGAGTTTTTTTTATCTAGTTATTTTGTAAAACTTTAAATCTTTTAAATTTAGTGTAACTTGCTTGAGGATTTTTATCTCTTAATGAAAATGCCACATTAATGCATATGACAAACAAATCATTCACATATTGACTTATTTTCTTTTTCTCCTTAGGAACTGAGAGAAACCTATAACACACAGCAGTTAGCCCTTGAACAACTTTATAAGATCAAACGTGACAAGTTGAAGGAAATTGAAAGAAAGAGATTAGAGCTAATACAGAAAAAGAAACTAGAAGATGAGTCTGCAAGGTAATATAGCTGATATATTAATTCTACTATATTGCCACTAGAATTGTAATTTTGTTGCTCATATCTTTATGAAAATTTAAGGGAAATGAAAGGATTATCCTAATCAGATTCTAGATTTCATAAGTTCAATTCTTTTAGGGGCCAAGTTTGCAGTAACTGATTTTATGTTTCACAAGTGAAAAATAGCAGACTTTGGAGTCAAACCTGTATTAGAATTCTTGGTCTGCCACTTACTACCTGGGTGACCTTGGTTATTTTATCTTTCTGAACCTCAGTTACTCCATCTGAAAAAAGAGACAATAATGCCTATCTCATAGGTAATTGTGAGTATTAAATAAAATAATGTAGCTGGAACTAGGCCTGGTGACATGCACTTGTAGTCCCAAGCTATGTGGGAGGCTGAGGCGGGAGAATCACTTGAGCCCAAGAGTTTGAGATCAGCCTAGGCAACACAGCAAGACCTTGCCTCTAAGTTAAAAAATAAAATAATGTAGCTAAAGAGCTAAGTATAATTTCTTGGATATAGTAAAACACTCATGAATTCCACCTTTCCTTAGTAAATCTATTAGTTTCCTGAAAGATTATAAAAACAGAATATTTAATTGTATATAGTAATACTGAATGTAGAATGCCACATTGATGCATTTCTCTTTTTTATCACTGAGATATATTAATTACCTTCATTTATAATAAGAAGAAGTAAGACATTTATTGTATCCGAAGCCTAGAATTATTCATTTAGAGACTTTGCATGATATTTTTCTGCCATTAAGATTCTTTTTCTAATACATTCCTCTCTTTCTTCTAAGTTCTCTAGTGTCAGAAATTAGTACAGCTAACAAATATGGATGACCCAGTATTTCTTTGCATTGGTAAAGATTAGATGAGTAATTTTTATGAGAAGGCAAGAAAGACATATTACCATTTAGTAGGCCTCTATTCTTAATGGTTTCAAAGTAACCACCTCCAACACATTTTTTTGAGTGGCTATTGTTGGCTGTGATGCTTATAGACCTTTGATTACTCCTTGCCCCTGAGTTTCTCATAATTCTAATAGAGGATTCAGACAGTTAAATAACTATAGTATTGTTTACTCCTAGACCCCTGTTTGTTTATTTTGAGACAGGGCCCACACTCTGTCACCCAGGCTGGAGTGCAGTGGCATGATCAGGGATCACTGCAGCCTTGACCTCCTGGGCTTAAACAATCCTCCCGCCTAAGCCCCTGCCTAGAAGCTGGGAATATAGGCATGTACCACACTCCCAAGTAATTTTTAAAAAAATTTTAATAGGGATGAGATCTCGCTATGTTGCCCAGGCAGTCTCGAACTCCTAGGCTCAAGTGATCTGCCTGCCTTGGCCTTCCAAAGTGCTGGAATTATAGGTGTGAATTACTGTGCCTGGCAATCTAGACCCCTATTTTTGTGGCCTTTTAACGAGATAGTAGAATAATATGAAAGTAGAGAAAGTAAAGTTCACACGAAGTAGGCTCTTATTTACTGCTTAACTTGTTCCACTTAATTACATAAGGGAACTATGCAGTGGTTACATAGCTAATCCTTATGTCAGAACTTTTATTGACATATGCACTTACCTTAACCCTTCTTTATCATGTTCACAATTCCTTTCAGGCCAAAAGATTATACTAATTACACACATTTAATTTCATTACTCATCCTTGCACATTATATTAGGTAGTAGAGAAGATAAAGAGAGCAAAAGTACATGTAGGACCTACTCAGTCTGAAGCTGGGTCTTAGTACCACATCTTGATTTGATTGGCTATTTGCGCGGGTATGTTCTCTTCTTTCCCCCAAGCTATTGGTAATAGGTTTTCGCATTGTAGATGTGGCCTCTTTGCTGTTTGCCCAGCTTCTGGGGCATCTTGTGGCACTGGACAAGTGTCTCATTTACTCACTCTTACATAAAGTTTACCAGAATTCTGGCATGGTTTCCTGCAGGGCAAGCTCAGCCTACTCTACCAAGCCTAGAGTAGAAGGGCCTGGCATCCTTTCCTTAAATTAAGCAAGGAGCCTTACCCAGGTTGTCCTAGTCTCATATTTATGTGGCCACGATAACCTGGCAGGAGGAGTTGGTGGAAAGAATGAAGAGCTTAAAAAATACATAGAAAATTTTAATTTAATGAGCCCTCTGCTTTTGTTGTTGTGCTGAATATGTGCTAAGTACTCTGATAGTGATATTTATAATGCTATGAAAATTCAAATGAAAGCTAACTGGGTATTATTTACGAGGCGTGAAAAAGTGTCAGGGAAAGTCACAGAGGAACTGGGAAAGGGGATATTAGTTGACATTAAGTGAGGACTGCAAGAGAAGCATTTTCCTTAAAGGAGAACCAGAAGTCAGTTATGAAAGTTGCTGGATGAAGCATTCTATGACATGATAGAGGATGAAGGAGGTCTGGAAAGTGTTGGAGGGAATCTAGTAATGGGCTCCTGAACCAACAGTATGAGGTCTGAAACAGTTGGGGGATAAGGAAAAAGCATTGATGACTAAGGGCCTACAATATTTTGAATTATTCAGGATTTTCAGATTCCTTCAGGAATTAAGGAATAGAGATGTGGAATTATGCCAAGGTTCCCACTTTGGTAGAGTATATATGCTGACAAATCTTAAGAATGTATCCTGCCATATTCTTCACTGCCCTGATAGTGATGAGGCTTGCAGGTGGTGCTAAATCTAATGGTGGCACCTCAGTAATCCCTGTACTTTGGGAGGCTTAAGCAAGCAGGTTACTTGAGGTCAGGAGTTTGAGACCAGCCTGGCCAACATGGTAAAACCTCATGTCTACAAAAAATTAAAAAAAAAAAAAATTAGCTGGGTGTAGGGGCACACACAATAGATTTGCCTCTGAGTGAGGTCATGATAATACATCCAAGGGAGAACTATAAGATGCATTAGTTCTAATACTAAAATAATTGCTCACAGATCATCTTGACTGGCTAGAAACCAAACTATAGCTGTGTTAGATTTCATTGAAATCTTTACCAAAGCACGTGGACCTAGAGAGGAGAAATGCTCTATTATCTAGGCAAAAGAAAAAGACTTTTTGAAGTAATAATATAAAAAGTAGAATGGGTGCAGTGGCTGTAATCCCAGCACTTTGGAGGCCAACAAGGAAAGATTGCTTGAGTCCAGGAGTTCCAGACCAGACTGGGCAACACAGTGAGACCCTGTCTCTATGAAAAAGAAATTAAAAAGTTGGCTAGATATAGTGGTGTGTGCCTGTAGTGCTAGCTACTTTGGAGGCTGAGGTAGGAGGATCACTTGAGCCCAGGAGATCGAGGCTGCAGTGAGCTATGATCGAACCACTGTACTGTAGCCTGGGCAATAGAGAAAGACCCTCTCTTGTTTAAAAAAAAAAAAAAAAAAAAAAGGTAGGTTATCTTTCCAGAAGCATTTCCTATTTCCACAACAACAACAACTAAATCCCTGAAACAGAGATTAGATAATACAGTGGGAATAAAAGCTGGAAGGTTCTTGTGAAGTATCTGGAGAGAAAGGAAGGAAACTTAGATATGATTTTTAGATTTATTTGCTGAATGGTTCCATTTCAACCTTTTTCTTTTACTCTTGAGTTTGGAGGTTGGTTAGCAGGAGGGAATATGAGGGTGTGAGAAGTTGTCAGTCATACACCCCAGTGCATCCACTAATCAATCCAAAGCTTCCAAAGCTTTTCTTGATTGATTGGTTTTCTTTCACCTCTGATCTCAACTGTTTCTCCCCACCCCTGTACTAATACTTCTTTGCTAGTTCTTCAGCTTGACAGGCACGAGATCTTACAGTATGTTTTTATTTAGTGTAATAAGTTTCTAGGATGTTATGCAAACTCTTTTTCTTTTATGTAAAGGAAAGCAAAGCAAGGAAAAGAAAACTTATGGAAAGAAAGTCTTAGAAAGGAGGAAGAAGAAAAACAGAAGCGACTCCAGGAAGAAAAAACACAAGAAAAAATTCAAGAAGAGGAACGAAAAGCTGAGGAGAAACAACGTAAGGGCAAGGATAAAAACAATAAATTTGTAGAACAAAAGGAACAAGAAAAAAAATGACCTGATGAGAGACAAAAAAAGGGAAGAAAATTAAAACAAAGATACTAATTGTAGAGTCAGAAAAAACCTTTTTATAAATTAAACTTGGATGAAAAGCATGTAGGCTTATTAAGACAGACTGAGGGTAGATATCTTAACACAGGAGAAAAGAAGATAGTTACTACTGACTGTGAAAAGACCCTAACATAGTTTTCATAATTGAAGGAAAATAATTTTAAATATTGTATTCAACCACTCTAAGCTACTTATTTTAATGAAACAATAGTAAAATTTTGATACACCTCAGTCCATGTCTACAATATTTTTAGTATTATTGTATCTCTTTTAGGTATATAAACCTTTGAATCCATATTAATGGCACAATGTGTTGAAATTTTACAAGTTAAAGCATTTATTCTAAAGATGAACAAAGTAGAAAATTTTAATCTTATCCAATTCAATATATTTGTGACCTCTTCTACTATTTTCCTTTTAGAACCATACTCACAGATCTAGAAATTTTTCTTCAGCCATCCCTGTTTACTTGCTAATCTTCTCTTTTGAGACCCCCCTTTTTGTCCTTTTCTTCCCTGTAATGTTCTCACCTCCACAGATCTAGACCAGCCTCTCTTTGCTTGGTCTCCTACTTTGTGCAGCTCAGCCTGGCTCCCACTCCTGCACTTCCCTGTGTATCCATGTGTGTACTTCATCCTGCAAGTCATCTCTTTGTTTTGCTGTCTCCTACCTTGCTTAAGATGAGCATCCTTGTTTGGTTTTTTATTAGATGACTAGTCAAGATATTGAAATCCTATCAAGTCTGTATCAGGTGGATTTTCATTGTACTATTTGGTGCTCAATTTTTTCTTTTAGATTTTAGGAGCTCTTTACTGAGTCATAACAAAGGTATGTACACATGTAAGTAGCAAATAATGACAACTGTCTTCTCTTTAGGTGAGACAGCTAGTGTTTTGGTGAATTATAGAGCATTATACCCCTTTGAAGCAAGGAACCATGATGAGATGAGTTTTAATTCTGGGGATATAATTCAGGTAGGAAATGAAGTCTTTTTTTAATCATGAATAAGCTGAATACATTGTAATATATTAGTTTCTGTAGTAATGTTGACTATAATTTCATGTATTTACCTTTGTAAAATATTTCTTAAGCATTACCTCATTTTGCCCTTACAACATACTTCAGAGCTGCATAGGACAGTTATTATTACTACCAAGTTCTAGCCAAGGAAGCTTAAACTCTCACAAGTTGTAACTGTCAGCATTGCTGTGCCAGAATGGGATACAGGTGTTTGTTTTTTGTTGTCCAAATCCATTGTCCTTTTTACTATGGCACATGGCAACTGTTAAAAGAATTGAAGGAGTTAGATTCCACAGCCCTAACTGGATACAGGTAATTTGTTTCTTGGGACAAAAGTTTTTATTATGTTACCATAATCCATATAAAATAGATGAATGAGAGAAGATCCCAGGAATAGTGTTTGATAGAGCCAGTATGACAAAATGGAGAGAGTACAGGCTTTAGAAGCACACAAACTTGGATTTTAGTCTCTGCTTCTGTTTTCTTCTAGTTAAAGTAATATTAACCAGAGTAGCCAGCACCTGTTTTCCCCGCTCCCCCTGTACTGTCACTAGTTGGTGTATTTTATCAGTTAAGTGGCAGATGTTTAATGATACTGGGGAAAAAAATTTACCAAAACTCTAGCACTCAATATAATCCCCAAACACACATTCCACATTCCTGCTGTTGCCATTGCCACTATTAGTACCAGAGCTGTGCCTGAGCTGCGGTAGAAGTTTGTTCTACAACCAGCCCAAGTCCATTGTCTGCTGTCCCTACCATTCCTCCTCTCCTTGCTGTTGATGATGAGATAATGTCTGTGGATAAAGAGATATAGCCTGTCTCTGGGCATGTTTGGTCAAGAGTTCACTTATATTTTTGGTTATTTTTTTATTTATTCCTTCAGATATTTTTTGAGGGCTATGTTAGTCTAGGGATTTAGTGAATAAGACATTATCTCTGCTCTTAACAAGCTTGTAGTTAATGAAAAAGTATGACAACCTAAAGCAGTAGAAAAAGGAAGGTAAAGGCAAAGGTTGCAGACTGCTACCAGCTTTAGCACAGACCTCTCCCATGGTCAGAGAGCCATTGTGGTGGTAGTGACAACAGGAACGTAAAGTCAGCCGTGTGTCTTGGGTGCTTGTGTACTCTGACATAAAGAATTAGTCATGAGTTACTACTATCAGCCATGAGTTGCCTGATTTGAACAAATTGGTTGATGATGGTATCATTTCCTAAGAGAGGAAAAAACACAGAGGGAAAATGAAATGTAAGTGGGAATTATGAGTTTAGGTTTATATGAGTTTCAGATGTCCAGGCAGTAGTAGTTGGATCTCCAGAGGTACCTGGAGAGATGTCAGGCAGCAGTCTGGGCTGAGGATGTAAATCGGACATCATCAGTATAATGTGATGGTAATGGAATACATGAGAGTAGTGGAGGTCATCCAGGGAGTAGTAACATGAGAGAGAAGAAGATTGGAGAAACATGTACACTGAAGGAATTATTAGAGGAAGTGGAACCTTAAAAGGAGTGACTAGAGGTAGGGAAAAAACCAGGAGCTTAGTGTCAGGGAACTTTGAGAAGAGTGATCTGCAACTGAAATAAGACAAGGACTAAAAAATTATTAGATTAGCAATAGCACAGGTGTCGTTAACCTTAAGGACAGCAGTGTCAGATAAATGGACTAGTAGAGCAAGAAGCCAGATTTCATGAGTTGGAATAAATTGGAAGAGAGGAAGAGGAGACAGTGAATATATAAAACTCTTGGGAAGAGCTTGGCTTTGAAAGGGAGAAGGAGAGAAGGTCGTAAATAATGAGGAATGTGGGTTGAGGGAAGTTCTTTTTTTTTTTTAAGTTGGCTGAAGTTTGAGCAAGTTTAAATAATGATAGAAAGGATTTGCAGAGGAAACAAGCTAATGATAATGGAAAGACAGTAAATAACAGA